TGATTCTCGCCACTGTTGGAATAATCACGACGACTCTCACAACTGTGATTTTTATGAAGCATAACAGCACCCCAGTAGTGAAAAGCACGACTAGAGAGCTTAGCTATATCATACTTTCAGGTAAGTTTTTCGAAGTAATCGTTTTTTGAAGAAAATGAATGAATTTTCAGGGATTATGACGTGTTACACTGTTACTTTCGCAATTTTGGCCAAGCCATCCTCAATTTCATGTTTTTTAGCCAGGTAACCAATATTTTGCTTTTTTCCTGAATAAGTTATCCTACATCCAGGATTATCCCACCCATTGCCTTTTCAATTGTATACTCTGCCCTGCTAACAAAAACCAATCGTATAGCTAGAATCTTGGCCGGCAGCAAAAAGCGGATTCTCACGAAGAAACCGCGATTCTTGAGCACATTTTCTCAGGTTAGCGATCTTCTTTGGTATTTTTTGCTATAATTTTACTTTTTCCCTAGGTAATCATCACATGGATTCTTGTTGGAATTCAATGTGTGGTTGTTGCTGTCGGTGTGCTACGAGAATGGCCATCAGCCGGTTTTTCTCCGCATTATTTGCCGCAACGGTACATTTATGAATTTTGTGGCGGAGCTCCAAGTTTACAGTATCCCACCGTAGCACTACAGTGACGTGAAAAGGGACATCGGCAAACTGATTTGAATTTGAACGCGAAATTCTACCTTACTGTTTCGAGATAATCCTTTCTTGCAGCCCCGCACCCTCCCCAGCGGTAAAGTGAGCCAGAGACGCAGATTGAGTCTGGCCCTTTCACTCTGCGTCTCTGACTTTAGTGAATTGTGCATGTTACGGTAGCATACCGTATAATTCCTCGACGAATTATTTTTTGTGTTCTGCGGTGATTTTGACAAATATCGTTGAACAAGTATTTTATATGAAATTTTCAGACTCGTTCTTGTCTGTGCTACTTCGTCAAGTTCATTTCTTACACCTTTTATGTGGAATCTCTTTTTGATCTCATTATGTACTCTCTATGCGGTAAAAACTCGAAATCTACCTGAGAATTTCAATGAGGCCAAATTCATAGGATTTACAATGTAAGTCTTTGTTG